ATGGATGCACCTGGAGGACATTCAGCTTAGTGAAACAGCCAGACAAAGAAAGATGAACATCACATTCATGGAGGGAGAGAGTCGAAAGGCTCCAGGGACTAGGAGCAGAAGGACAGAGGGATCAGAGGGATATTGGTCAAAGGGTACAAAGTTCTGGTTAGAAGGGAAGAGTAAGTTTTTGAGCTGTAGGCACAAAGTGTAAGTGTAGTTAATAATTATATATATTTCAAAATAGCTACCAGAGTAAGTTTCAAGTGTCCCATCACAAAAAAATAAGTGGGGTGGTGGATATGTTCCTTAGTTTGCTTTTATCATTCCACATAGCAGGCATGTATCAGAAAATCACACTGTACCCCATAAATGTATATAATTACAAATTATCCATTAAAAATAGTATTAAAAAATAAAAAAAGTGGCTTGGTGCCAGTAGCTCAGTGGGTTCAAACCCAGCCCAGGCCTGCCAAACAACAATGATAACTACAACCAAAAAATAGCCAGGCATTGTGGCAGGCACTTGTAGTCCCAGGTACTTGGGAGGCTGAGGCAAAAGAATCACTTAAGTCCAAGAGTTTGAGGTTGCTATGAGCTATGACGACACAGCACTCTACCAAGAGTGACATAGTGAGACTCTGTCTCAAAAGAAAATAAATAAATATTTTAAAAAGTGACAGGGCATGGATAACTTTTCTATTTGTCTGAGTCTAATCTTAGACTCAACATGAATGAATGGAGAAATGAAAAAATGGATATGAAAGAATACTGTATGTAAATACTATAAAACACGTAGAATCAGGCTCCCTCTTTTAAGTGGAATGGTCTTGAGCTACGCTTCATTGCATCATGCAAGGTTCTTTGTGTAGTCTAAAGCTTGAAGACTGTTGAACATACTTACAGTACAATAATGTTACATATTGTAGCAGATAGGAGCTGCCCACTGACTATTTAAAATAGCTGCAATAACAGTTGCTTTTTAGATCAAATTAGAGTAAACAGATAAGTATCGAGTATCTATTGCAGTATTATACAAGACATTGATGCCAAGCCTTTGAATTAGTTTGCCAGAGCTGCCATAAGCTGTAACAAACCGCCATGACTCGGGGCTTATAGCAACAGGAATTTCTTGTCTCACCATTCTGGAGGCTTGAAGTCCAAAATCAAGGTGTTGGCAGGGCTATGCTCCCTCTGAAACCCGCCCCAGGAGTCCTTTCACGTCTCTCTGCAACTTCCGGTCATCTGCCAGCCCCCTTTGGCCTTCCCAGGTGGGGGCTCTCTGCTGCACAGCTCCCACTGCTGCCTCCTTGTGGTGCAGCGTTTTCCCTTATGCCTTCTCTGTCTTCACACAGCCCTCTAATTATAAGGACCCTATCCCGTATGACCTCATCTTAAGTAAATTAATTATATCTGTAATGACACTATTTCCAAATAAGGCCACATTGCAAGGGGCTGGGTGATTAGGACGTCAACATAGCATATTATGCAGGGACACAGTTTAACCAGGAACAGCCTTTCTTTGGGTTCTTTTAGATGAAGGTGAGAGAAAGATTGTGAAAGCTGAAGATGCTGAAGTCTTCTGCCTCCCTTGCACTGACCTGCCTGAGTCCCACTGCTGAGAGAGGTGGGGGGTTAGTCTCAGCACTCACTCTGAGGCCCACAGCACAGACCAGTTACCAGAAGCTTCAATTCCTGCTCCCTCAGAGGAGCTTACAAAGCACCTCTGCTCCAAGTGGACCCCCCACCTTTGCTGGCACTTCTCTAAGCTGCTTGCCTCACCTTCAGCCACTGTCCCAACGCCCTGTACTTGACAGAATGAGCAGCAAGCTTGAGTTAAAGGAAAGAGAAATGTATTAAGGATCAAATGACCTTCTCCCCCTGTCAGATCACGAACTACAAGCCAGGCAGCCTTTGTTTGGCTTCTTGTGCTATTGCACTTCCTGTGCCCCTTGCTGTCGTCCCATGTCCCATCAGCTCCCTCCTCTGCTGTCCTTTCAGAGGGACAAGTGCCTGCAAGTGGAATTGCTCTTGAAGTAATCCCAACTGCTCTCAAATTGCTTCAGAAGTTCCTTTTGAATCTGACACCTGTTGGCCCATAAACCTAGTAAGTCTATTCACTGAGGGCCAGATTTTACCTCTTGGTTAAGACATCCCTCTATTGAGAGCCTTCTCTGCCTTTCATGTGGGCAGGATTTGAACTTTTGCTTGTGTTCTCTCTGCATTAATACACGGTCCTCCCAAACTTTGCTTTGACATTTCATGCTATTTTCACTCATTTATAAGCAGCCTGCTTTGGTTCCTTCCCAAATGCCCCCTTTCCAGAGGCCAAGGAACTTTATCCTAATTTCTAAAGAGGCAGCGAAAAGTTTTATTTTTAATTGGGCTGAAAAGGTCATAGAAATGCAAAGCAGTAACTCATACATGTATGTATGGTTTTTAGGGCAGGTCATCTTTCTTTCTTCCTTCTTTTTTTTTGGTATGATGACTATGTAAACCCAGGTGATCCTTCTGCTAATATTCATTCCCCACTCCACTCCTTGATGTATGTTTAATAACCAAGGACATTTTCTGTAGATTTTATGCTAGTAAAGAATCCTTGCCTTGGGCCAGGCATAGTGGCTTATGTCTGTATTCTCAGTACTCTGGGAGGCCAACATAGGAGGATCACTGGAGCTTAGGAGTCTGAGACTAACCTGAGCAAGAGTGAGAACCTATCTCCCCCCACCCACCCTCTCTCTACTAAAATAGAAAATCTAGCCAGGCACTGTGGCTTGAACCCAGGAGCTTGAGGTTGCTATGAGCTAGCGTGATGCCATGGCACACTAGCCTGGGCAACAGAGTAAGACTCTATTCCCCTCCGTCCCCAAAATTCTTGACTTTATATTAATATAGTTAATATTAATGGGATTTTTTTTTTTTTAGCCCTGACATTTTTGTTGGGATTGGGAAAAATTATTTTCAGATTATTTCCCTGGCTGAGTTTTAGATATGTAAATAGTAAGAGGTTTTGTTGTTTACTCAGCTACACTTAAGTTATTTTTCTGTTGACTTCAGGCCCCAGAGAGGGCTGGCTGAAAAAGAGGGAGAAGGCAGGAGGGGAGGGCCAGTCCCACATTTCCTGACTCTTGAAACAGCAAGTGGTTTCAGGAAGGCGGAAAAGAGAAAGTAAGAGGAACATTATAATTCAGTTAAAACTGCAACCTTCTGTCCAGCTGGGAGGATGGCACTGCCTAATGTTTCTTCAGCCTGGCTCAAAGACGAGTTAGCAGGGGTGCCTGAAGAGGAACTATCCTGCTTCTTTTCAGAAGTCACCTTGTAAAATCGTTCCCAAAAGGAACATGCCCACTCATAAATCACTGGAGTCCGCTTCACATCACACCTTCAGTTCTAGAATTTCTGCATGGATGAGGGGCTAACTTACATTGAAGTTACTCTTGGGGTGGGAGGGACTTTGCAACCCCCTGGATTAAGAGGTTGGATTTTAGAAAACGACAGGCTTATTTCTCAGTTCACAGGTGCATTTAAGTTTCTTTTTTTTTTTAATCCTTGATCCTTCCTCTTTTCACTCCTTACCACATACTTGAGGCATTCTAGGGACAAAATTTAAGGGTGTGCTGAAAAGGCACAGTAATATAGAGAAATAATGCAAAATTTATTTTAATGAAACTTTTTTTAAAAGTCAGATTAACAAACTAAGAGCAGTTGCTAACTGCCAGCTTTTGTAAATAAAGTTTCCACCCATGGGATTTGGGGGAGAGACAGGGTCGATCAAGTTCAGGAGGGAATCCTGCATATTTTTTTTTTTTTTTTGTAGAGACAGAGTCTCACTTTATCGCCCTCAGTGGAGTGCCATGGCATCACACAGCTTACAGCAACCTCCAACTCCTATGCTTATACAATTCTCTAGCCTTAGCTTCCCGAGTAGCTGGGACTACAGGCGCCCACCAAAACGCCCGGCTTTTTTTTTTGTTGTTGTTGTTGGAGTTCGGGGCCGGGTTTGAACCCGCCACCCTCGGTATATGGGGCAGATGCCCTATTCACTGAGCCACAGGCACCGGAATCCTGCATTTCTAAAATGTGACATTTTGCATTAATTTTTAGTTTGAAATTTCACTGAAATATTTTTCTTGATTATTGAGGTTTTTGTTTGTGAACCCACAATTTTTGCAATTGAGGCGGATACCCCTATTCTGGTCCAGTAAAAATACATAGGATTCAACAAATACCTATCCACCTTCCTCAACCACAACTCGCACAGAAACTAGGCTGTTCCTCACTGTGCTGCAGGTACACAACCCCCCACTGCCAAGGCTCCATAAAGTGTCCCGTGAGTTTTCAGCCCCTGCACTATGTGCAGCCGAAGTGCCTAGACCACGTCTGCCTTCGCACTTTTGCGCAGTTATCCACAATTCACCGACCACGCGTCTTCAGGAACTGCGTGGGAAGTCCTTTTAGCAGTCTTCCGCACCTTCGCTCCGTTCTCTGCGCCAGGACGGATAACAGACACGCCTGCCCGGGTAGTCAGGGCCGCAGCCCCGCCCTACGCCCGGTCCCTCGCGCAGTCCTTTCGCTCCATCCTTGTGCTGGGCATCGTGTGGTCGTGTCTGCGTGCTCCACCGAGTCCGCCGGCGCGAGAAAGGGCTCACGCCGCTCCCCAGTTCATACCAAAGTGAAAGAGGAAGCGCGAAAAAGCTTCCTGAGCAGCAGTGCGCAGGCGCATCGGCTCTTTTGGCTTTCCCCGGTGGGGCACATTGTGCTCCGCTGTGGGCAGACAGTTGAGGGCGCTGCAGTGACAGGGCTGGAGCCGAGTCGGGGTCACTCGGGAGGGTGACCTGCAGGCCCTGTAGCTGTAGCTGTAGGGTGGGGCCCATGTTGGCGTAGTGGACTGGGATGGGGTGGGCGCCGCCCCCGGCACGGGCTGGGGGCGCTGGACAGATAAGGCGGGTGACAGCGTGGGAGGGGCGGGCGCCACCGCGTCCACGCCCTCCGCTCGGGGCTGGACCGGGAGGGTCCTCGGCTCTGTGCGCGCTGGGCCGGAGGGCTAAGGCGCGCAGGTCGGACGCGGCGCCATGCGCGGTCCCCCTGCCTGGCCACTGCGGCTACTCGCGCCGCGGGCCCCGGCCGCCTGCGTGTGGGCCCCGGTCGTCGGCGCCCCCAGGTCCCTGCCGCTGCTGGTCGGTCCGGGGCCAGGGTTCCTCGGGGGCGCTGGGGCTGCACGCCGTTGGAAGAGCAGATGTCGGGGCGGGGATCTTGGCGGCGCGGGCGTTACGCGGTTCCTGGGGCTGTGGGCTCGCGGTGCCAACACCTGCCAGTGCGGAGCGTTCAGCCGGCCCGGCGCTCTGCGGCTCCCGCGCGCCGTGCTCCCTGGATGTCCCGCAGTCGCCGCCCGGGCGGGAGGCGAGGCCTGGCGGCGCGGGCCGGCAGTGGCTCCCGGGGACGACAGGCGGCTGCGCCCCGCGGCGGCCCGGCTCTCGGAGACCCGGAAGCTCCTGCAGCTGGCCTACCCCGAGCGCCGCAGGCTAGCAGGTAGGGACTCCTCCCACCGCGCGCTCGGGCTGCTGGGCCTGCGGAGAAGGACACTGTCGGGCGGCGGAGAGCCTGTCCCTGGAGCCTCCCTCGGGCCACGCGTAATCCCGGAGGAGGGACGGGATGGCTTTCCCGGGAACTTCTGTCCCAGAGTGCTGGTCAGGGAGCTCACCTCGGAGTGGCGATGTCAGGATTTTAGGTTAGCTCGGGGAGTGGTTGGAAGAAAAAACATTTGATGTTTTTTCTGTTGATGACAGTTCGTACTCTCGGTCCAGGAGCTCATTGTTGGAATCTTTGAGTCTGCTTTGCCGGCAACTCAGTGGGGGCGGTGTTTCGGCGTTGGTAGCATTCTCAGGATGAGATGGAGAGTATTTTTCCTTTAAAAAAATTTTAGCGCCCCAAATGCCTATTTTGTTAGTATGCATTTATACTGTTTTAAAGCCACATTTGCTTTAGGCAAGTTTATCAAGCAGTGAGCAGCATGTTTAGAACCAGGCAAACAAGCCCAGGTGCTGTGGACTCTGGAAGCAGAACTACTGCACCACTCTGCCTGGAGCAGCCAGCGATCTGTGAACTGCAGACGCTCTGACAGATTGTAGATCACCCCCCAACTAAATCATAATGGAGTAATTTTTAAAAGAAATCCAAACGCGTATTTTTAGAAACAAAATCCAAATAAAACAACTTTATATAGTTCCTCATTTTTAGCTGTAATTGGAGGAATGTTTCAGTGTGAGGGCCTTATAAAATTTTGAGATTTCTCTAAATTTCCTTATCGTCTACAAAAATGTGTGGAGTTCTCATTCTTTGCTGGGCCTCAGATTACCTTGAAGAAAGATAGATGGTCCCTGCTCCTGTCAGGGCTTCTGGCTTAGTGGAGAGAAATGTCAACGAACTAGTCACACAACTACAAATAAACTTGCGGCTTCAGAGAGGGTTTTGGAAGAGGGTCTGTGGGGCTGTCAGGTGCAACATCAGAAACAAGAATTCTCGGTTCCGAGTCTGTTGCTGTAGAAAGGATCTTCCTAGCGATTTGGATTTAGAGTAGGGCTGCCAGGTGGAGAGCAACCAGGATGGCAGTGTTTCTTCTACCACTGACTGTGGAAGCTTGGGGGAATTCTTGGTACCATTGAGGTATAAAGAGTATTATTTCATTGTTCAGTGAAATATCTTTCTGTTTTTGTTTTTTAAAGAGACAGGGTTTTGCTTTGTGGCCCAGGCTGGTCTTGAACTCCTGACCTCAAGCAATTCTCCTATCTCAGCCTCCCAAAGTTGCTAGTATTACAGGTGTGAGCCACTATGCCCAACTGAGTGTAGATTTTGATATAAAAGATCTTTTCTTCACTTTTTCTCTTTTAAAAGTGGAGACTAGGGGCTCTCTCTGGACTGTGAGCTGTGTCTGATTGATCTTTCTGCCTCCAGTTCTTAGCATATTTGTGGCACAGAGCAAGGATTCAGATTCCTTAAGTGAAGGAAACAAGGAGCCCCCCTCTCAGCCTAGAACTTTGAGAGACCCTCGCCTCTGTAGGGTGCATCCACCACTCCTGTGCATGACTTAGGAAGCGTGAGGAAATCTACTTTTGTTTCTGAAATGTTGTATGTCAAGGAAGTTGTTCAGGTGTCAGGTTTTGTTGGTCCCTGCGTTGTCCCAGTCCTGCCTATCCGCTGACCATCATCCATGTACCTTCCTATCCTGTCAGCATAAGTTCTGCCATGGTGGTATGTCGTGGAGACAAGTCTGTCTCACTGTATCGCCCAGACTCATCTTTACCTCCTGGATTCAAGCAGTCCTCCCACTTTCCCAGTAGCCGAGAAGAGTGTGTGCCACTGCCCCAGGTTTGTACCCCCTTTTAAGAAGAGGAGCTATTTTGTTCTGCTACATTGAAAAATTATGAGTATATAATTTGAGGAAATAAGCCTGGGGTTGGCACAGTTAATAAATGTATGTTATGAAGAAATCTGATGAAATATGATTATATGTATTAAAGTCAGTGTAGATGTTGGCATTTGTGGGATTAAGAGAGAGTGGGAGGTAATTTATTTACTTATTTATTTATATATATATATTTACTTATTTATTTTTTTGAAACAGTACACTGGTTAGAGTACTGTGGCGTCACAGTTCACAACAACCTCAAACTCTTGGGTTCAAGTGATTCTCTTACTTCAGCCTCCCAAGTAGCTGGGACTATAGGCGCCTGCCATAACTCCTGGCTGTTTTTTTGTTAGTCATTGTTGTTTAGATGGCCCAGGCTTGGTTCGAACCCGCCACCCTCAGTGTATGTGGCTGGCACCGTAACCACTGTGCTACAAGTGCTAAGCCGAGGTAATTTATTTTTAATTTGTAATTTATCATCTTAAGAGCAGCCTCAAGTGTTGGCGCATCACTCTGAAATGCCAGAGGTAAAGAATAGTGTTGTGTGTGTGTAAGAGCATTTAAATCAAGAGACCAAAAGAAGAGTTGAAGAGAAGAAATTCCAATCTTAACTTTTAATTTTTAGAAAAACAAGTACAAGTATCCTTTTTCAAAAACACAGCTTTTCATTTGAATAATAATCCTTCCATCTGTCTTCAATAGTTTCTTAAGTATGCCCCTGTTTAAACCGTGTCCTGAAAACTTTGATAAGTTATTGGTATCAGAAGTTTTAAGTACAGAGTCTACCACTTGGAAAGCTTGAGCCAAGAGCAGCCTTCACATTATTTCCATTTTTTCTGAAGGAACTGCTGTCATTCCCCTGCCGGGTTCTCACTTTGGATAGGAATTTGCAGCTATCTTCCTGTAGCTGTGGCCTACAAAGTTTCCCTAGAGTCCTTTTTCACTGATAACTCTTCGTCTTATCACTTTGAACAGAAGGAATCTTTTGAAAAGATGCAGAAGGAACAGAAGGTGGACTGGTGGGATAAGCAGCACTTCATGGAACCTTCTGGCTGTGCCTGGCAGATAGAGGTGGTAACGCTCTTGCTGAGTTAAGGGCAGGGTCTTAGGAGTGGGCCTGCATGAGATTAGAGGAGGTTCTTTGTGTGGTGGGCCTTAGCCCGAGGGCACATGCCAAGTGCACTCTTCCTGGCAGTGCACACCTGCCCCACATTCCCTGGTGTTCCCCGAAGAACTCAGGGTTCTTCTCCCTTCAAATACTGATAAGGGCCACTTGTGGATTGAGTTCAGGATTGCTCTTAGACCCCAAAGCCAGCAGCCTTTACTAAGTCTGTAGTTCTGCTTTATGGATGTAGACCATGAGATGACTGTGGGGAATAGTGGTAACACTAGTTGGTGCAGTGGGCAAGGCGGGAACCAGGAATCTTGAGAGTGGCCATGTCATGGAGCCCACTCATGACAGAGGTCTACATGCAGAAGTGCTTGTTTCAGAGAAAACATGAGCATTCTGCAAGTGTGCTGTGAGGTGTGGCTGGATGGAGTTCACTGTGGTGTAAAGTGCACATCAGATTCTGAAAAGCCAGTAGAGAAAAAAAATCTAAAGTATCTTATTAATGTTTTATTGATTATTTTTTTATTTTTTTATTTTTTGAGACAGAGCCTCAAGCTGTCCCCCTGGGTAGAGTGCCGTGGCATTACAGCTCACAGCAACCTCCAACTCCTGGGCTCAAGCGAGTCTCCTGCCTCAGCCTCCCAAGTAGCTGGGACCACAGGCACCCGCCACAACGCCCCGCCAATTTTTTGGTTGCAGCCGTCATTGTTGTTTGGCGGGTCCGGGCTGGGGATTAAAACCCGCCACCTTAGGTGTACGTGGCTAGCACCTTAGCCGGTTGAGCTATAGGTGCCGAGCCTTTTTTTTTATTTTTATTTTTTTTTTTGAGACAGAGCCTCAAGCTATACCCCTGGGTAGAGTGCTATAGCATCACAGCACATAGCAACCTCCAACTCCTGGGCTCAAGCGAGTCTCCTGCCTCAGCCGCCCACGTAGCTGGGACTACAGGCACCCGCCACAACGCCTGGCCATTTTTTTGGTTGCAGCCGTCATTGTTGTTTGGCGGGTCCGGGCTGGGGATTAGAACCCGCCACCTTAGGTGTATGTGGCTAGTGCCTTAGCCGGTTGAGCTATAGGCGCCGAGCCGGGAGGTAATGTTCTTATGGCCATTTTACAGATAAAAACTGAGGCAGAGAGAGGTAAAGTGACTCATGCAAGGTCACACAGCCAAATGGCGTAGCTAGGATTCTGATAGACCGAACTTCAGAGCTGGCCCTCCTAATTTGCTGCCTAAATCCGACCAGTCATCATGTCCAGCGTCTAAGAATGAGAGTTGGATTCTTAAAAATATCCGCCTGTAATCCCAGCACTCTGGGAGGCCCAGGTGGGTGGACTGCCCTGAGCTTACAGGTTTCAGACCAGCTGAGTAAGAGCGAGACCCCAACTCTAAAAATAGCTGGGGGTTTTGAGGGGGCATGTGTTGTCACAGCTACTCGGGAGGCTGAGGCAAGAGAATCTCTTGAGTCCAGAATATGGTTCTGCATTTTGTAAGGTTGGAGGTTGCTGTGAGCTATGATGCCTCAGCACTCTACCGAGGGTGTCTCAAAAAAAAAAAAATCTAATCCAGGCCAGACATAGTAGCTCACACCTTAATCCCAGCACTTTGGGAGACCAAAGCAGAAGAATTGGCTGAGGCGCCAGGAGTTTGAGACCATCCTGGGTAACGTAGTGAGACTATCTCTACCAAAAAACAGAAAAAGTAGCTGAATGCAGGGTGGTGGTATGTTCCTGTACTCCCAGCTACTCAGGAGGCTGAGGCAGGAGGATCACTTGAGCCCAGGAGTTGAAGGCTGCAGTGAACAATGCTTGTCCTACGTCCATTCCACGCCTGGGTGACAAAGTGATGTCCTGTATCAAAAGAAAAAGGAAAAAAAATCTCCAATCCTTGTCACTGTCCTTTATCTTTCTGTTCCCAACCTTGTTCACTCCAGGTACCAGAACAGCTTTCTGTCTCCCCACCTGCAGTTGTGCTGGCCTTTTTGCTCTGCAGCCAGAGTTGGTCATTTAAAAACACAAATCTGTCAGTCCAACAGAAAACACTTTTAAGCCTGCCTTACCACAAAGTCCTTATTCTGTTTTATAATCTGGAAACTTTATTTCTCAGCACTGCTTCCTGTGTGCCCACATGGTCTCTGCCCCCACTGTTGTCTTGCCAGCCTTTCTGCTCCCTGGCCTGCCCTGACCCCACATGCGGCCTGTGCTGCATCTCTGCTTGAAGTGTGGTAAGATGAGGACAGGCTTTGTCTCAGAATGTGCTTCTGCATTTTGTGAACTGGGAGACCTTGGGCAGGTTCCTTCATCTCTCTGTGCTTCAGTTTCCTGTCTGAAAAACAAGAATAATGTGAGGATTGCTGGGAGGATATCAAATGCTTGGGATGGTAGTGGAAACTTATCCTAAGTGCTGCCTTTTTAGTCCTCGTGTGACAGTGGGGGAGAGCTGTACCTATTACCGTCCTAAATTCAGCACTTAGCAGGTGGAAGGCACACTGTACAGCTTCTTCTGCCCACCCCCAAACCTCTGTCCTCTTCCCATGAGCTGTATATCTCCCAAAGCCCTTATACCAGCAATCTGCATTCTAGGGTTTTTGTTCCTGTTTCTTATCTTTTGAATACCATGATTCAGTGCAATAATGGTCATGTGTCTGAAGACATCTGCTGAGAGGGATAACAGTACAAGTTACAGGGAAGGGTGGGGACAAGCTGGGGGCTGAACCACAGAGAAAAGGGGGAAGAGGGTTTCAGAAGAGCCGCACTGCAGCTGTGTCTTGAGTTTGGTGTGGAATCTGAAAAAATTTTATGGGGCAAGTCTAAGTTATTCCTTACTGTCAGAAGGTAAGAATTTGCAATAAAATCTTGATTAACAAGATTCCAGCTAACCAAAAACTGAAGAAATATTTTTCTTTTTTAACATTGAAATTAGACGGAGAGGCAAATAACAATAAAACAGCTGATATATATTTTTTTTAATTTTTAAGTAGTAAAACTGTGCGGAGGATATCCTGGAATGAGTTAGGATTCAGCTGAATTCCTTCCTCTTCGTAGTCAGCATCCTTACTGTGTAAGAACTCGACTCAGAATCAGAATCATGGGGCATTTCATTCCAGACAAGCAGATTCTTACTGTGGAATCCTAACTCTGATTCAGGAAACTAGAGGAGGAAGGGAGCATATCACGTCTCACAAGGCTGGAGAAGTGAACTGATGAAGGACAAAACCAGGATTTTCTGCCGAATCCCGAGTTTGCCAGGGTAGCGCCTTCTGGAGCTGCCCATTCATCGTGGCTAAGCTGTGCAGAACCACCCACTAAGCACTCTCCTGCCCTGCAGGGCTAAACTGTGCAGAGCCACCCACTAGGCACTCTCCTGCCCTGCAGACTTTCAGTCCTGCTTGGAGCATGGTGCTCTGCAACAAGGCCCCGGTCCTTATATCAAAGCGAAACGGCCACTGGCCAGGTTTATATTACTTTGTTGAATTGTGGCTATGAGTTTTTAAGCCAGGCACATGGACCTTCCAAGCTGCCAGATCCTACTCAGGCTCTTGGAGAACTTTGGTTGGATGGACTTTCCAGGATCCTTTGCAAAGTTGAAATTATTCATTTACCCGTTCAGCAATCCTGACAGGCACCCGAGTTCCTACGTGCCTGGCACTATAGGCAAGCAGTGATGCATCAGACCCCAATCAGTTATGCCTTAATGGAGAGATGAGATAGATAATAACAATAAACAGATGAAATACTGAGAATGCTGGGGAGTGGGAGGGACAGGCATCATGGGGCATCTGTATTTTAAGGGAGGTTATCGGAGCAGGGCTTTTGGGGAGGGAGTATTAGAACAAGAAAGGGGTAAGAGCAAGTGTTCAAAATATCCCCCCCTTAAAAGTCTCACTTTTCTCCTAGAGTTCTGCCTATCACCCATCAGCTCAATGTCCAGTGGCACTGAGTTTATTCTGCCTGCCCCCTTTGGTAATTTTATAAAAGCAGTACCTGTATTGAAGTGTCAGAACTAGCCACACCACAAAGAGAGAAGCGTTTGCTGTTTGTAGAGTATGAGGCACTTCTGTCTCCTTGGGCTCACTCTGTGGTGTGCCCACCTGGGAGCCTTGCCACAGACCAGGAGTCCTCAAACTTTTTAAACAGGGGGCCAGTTCACTGTCCCTCAGACTGTTGGAGGGCTGGACTGCAGGCCCTGGGATGAGTTGGCTGTTAAGCAGGAAAGGCAGCAGCAGCAAAAACACTCAGCGGGTCGGATAAATGTCCTCAGCGGGCCGCAGTTTGCGGATGCCTACCATAGACTCGGGTACTGGGTCACCAGCCAGGTTCCTAGTAGGTCTCTCACGGGTACTATACACACATAGTTCCAGTGTCAGAAGGCACCAGTGGGAAGGAAGCCTCCTCTCACCCTAGCCCCCAGTCACTGAATGCCATCTGAGAAGAAACTTGTGATACCTGTTTGTTATGAATCTTCCAGAGATGTTCTGTGCTCATATGAACTTGAAAAACCAGCAAGTGGGCTGGGCACAGCAGCTCATGCCTATGGAGGCTAAGGCAGGAAGATATTTTGAGGCTAGGAGTTTGAGACTAGCCTAAGCCCCATCTCTACAAAAAGTAGAAAAACTAGCTGAGCATGGTGGAACACACGTGTAGTCCCAGCTACTTGGGAGGCTGAGGCACATGGATTGCTTAAACCTAGGAGTTTGAGGTTGCAGTGAGTTATGATGACACCACTGCACTCTAGCCAGAATGAGGAGTAAGGCTTTGTCTAATTAAAAAAGAAAATGGTGCATACCTTTTATGAATGCAATTATCTGTATGAGTTATTTCTAATTGGGTTTTCTTAATATTTTTCTTTCTGATAAGTCTCCCTTTGTTCTTTAACTACATGATCAGTTATTCATATTTATTTTCATATCATGCTGGTATTCCCCAAAGCAGTAATATTAAGGAACATATTACATGTGTAACAGATCCCTGAAACTGCTTTCTGAAGGCTATTCAGAGTGTTTTGAAATGCTTGATGTCATCAGGGCTTTACTTGAATGCTGCGTACAGGTAGATGCCAGGGTAACACTGTGCAGTGTGAGGAGAAACACAACCTCAGCTGAGCACCAAGATCCAGAGGCAGGAGGGCGGCCAGAACTGGTGATCACTCGCTTCACCCATCTGTATGTCCCCTGCACCACTTGGTCCTTCCGGGAGTAGGGGTCCAGCAGGGAGAGGAGGGAAGTGCGAGCAACCAAGATGGATGTACACACTCTGAAAACAGTCGTGTGGGAGGGAAGCCCCCTGGGTTAGCACCGTGAGCAGATAAGCATGCGCTGATGTTTTCCAGCTGCGGTTGGATTTCTGGCCCTATCCAGTGTCATCACCATGTCCGCCCCTTTCTTCTTGGGGAAGATCATTGATGTCATCTATACCAACCCTACTGTAGACTACAGTGGCAATCTGACCCGCCTCTGCCTTGGGCTCAGCGGTGTATTTCTGTGTGGTGCTGCTGCCAATGCCGTCCGTGTCTACCTCATGCAAACTTCAGGTAAAGGTCTCTGGGGGAGTGAGCCATCCTGGAGAAGGCAGGGGAAGCTTGTGGGCTTGTTCAGATCTCAGGGCCCATGTGCTCTAGGCCACAGTCTCCCTCTTCCCAGCATCCCATCCAGTAGGGACAGCTCCCGGGGTCTGCCAGATGCCGGAGTTACAGGTTGTTTGACCCCAAGCACTCTTCTCAACTCTTGTTTTCCATAGCTGGAGCTGAGCAGTTATGCAGGTGGCTATATATGTCTTATGGGAATCTGAGAGCAAGGCCCTTGGCCATGAGGCTGGACTTCCAAGCCTTCTTCAGGGAGCTTCTGAAACTCATTCACCTGCTCCATGCTGTGTCTCCCCTTGGGCAGTAGCTGGGACAGCCACTTCTGGAACACCACCTGGGAGTCTGTTGCTCCCCAGTTAGCTAATAAAATACTCTATAGATAATTAACCAGTTCTTAACATTTAAATAAAGGTTTAATACAGAGCAAGGTTTCCAAGGAGGAACAAAATGAGCTTTTGGAAGTTAATATAATAAAACTTCTTTGCAAATAATACTTTAAAAAAATGTCTTGGTCATGTTGTATTTACTTTATTCTTGTATCCTTCCCGTAGCACCCACAGCCTGTGGGGGCGAGGAGAAAAGTAGTGTCCTTACAAAGGCACAACTGTTACCATGGTGGGGCTTGAGTTACTCTCCCCACCAAGGGCACACGTTGCAAGGACATGGTCTAGCAGGTTGACAGCACCAGGCCAAGCTGCTACATAGCAGGTGGTACCAAATGACAGTACCCAGTGTGCGCCCGTTTCTGTTTGCTTTTGCAGGTCAGCGCATCGTGAACAGGCTGAGAACGTCATTATTCTCCTCCATCTTGAGGCAGGAGGTTGCTTTCTTTGACAAGACCCGCACAGGAGAATTGATTAACCGTCTCTCCTCAGACACCGCACTGCTGGGGCGGTCAGTGACGGAAAACCTCTCGGACGGGCTCAGGGCTGGGGCCCAGGCTTCTGTAGGGATCAGTATGATGGTACGTCAGCCAGGTTCCCTGGCACCCTCCAGTCAGGGCACATAAAATGAGCTCAGGCTGAGCAGTCCTCAGCATTCCAGCGTTCCATAAGCACAGAGCACCAAGAGCCTATGCCAGATGGTGCGGGAGCTGATTGCCTCTTCCTGCACAGCTTCCTGCACCTTCAGCTCTCCAGACCAAATGATTATCCAGAAAATGGAGTCCTGTGTTATTACTAGGTTTTCTGAGAGTGAGCCCAGGATGTGAGGGCAGGGAGCATCAGGAGAAGGAGCCATGTGGTGGTCCAGGCACTGAGTTCACTCCTCCTTGGTGTCCGTTAGCAGCCCTGTGTTCCTGTGGCCAGTGTGCTTTCCCCTCCCACAGCCTTCTTTCCTTCCCTTACTGGGGGGGGTCAGATCTCTCCTGTCTAATTGCTTCACTTCTTCAACCAGTGTTTCTGTTCAGACCAGAGCAGCTGGCCAGCAGAGACATCCAGCAAGCCACACATATGATTTTAATGTTCTAGCAGCCACCTGTAAAAAAAAAAAAAAAATCTCATCAAGATAAGATTAATTTTAATAACGTTTTGTTTAACCTAGTATAAATAAAAGGTTATCCCCATATGTAATTAATATCAACTTGGTTTTTTTTTTTGAGACAGGGTCTCACTCTATTGCCTAGGACGTGGTCTAGCAGGGTGATTGGACCGGGACCAGCTGCCACATAGCAGGTGGCTACCTCTTAATGGCACCTAATAACAGTACCCAACCTGTTACTCCTGGGTTCAAGTGATCAGAGGATCACTTAGCCTCCCGAATAGCTGGAACTACAAGTACCTGCCACCACACTCAGCTAGTTTTTCTATTTTTTTTATTTATTGTTTTTAGTTTTTCTATTTTTAATAGAGATGGAATCTCACTCTTGCTCAGATTGGTCTCAAACTCCTGAGCTAAAGTGATCTTCTACTTCAGCCTCTGAAAATGGTGAGATTATAGACATGAACCATCATGCCCAGGCAATATCAAAATTATTAGTGAGATTTTTATATATTTTTTTCATATTATAGTTGACCGTTGAACTGCATAAGTAGTGGGGCCCTAACCCCTGCACAGTCAAAAATCTGTGTATGACATTTGATTCCTCAAATGCTTGACTAATAGCTTACTGTTGACTGGAAGCTTCACTGATAACGTAAACGGTTGAATGATACAGTTTGTATGTTATGTTATGTGTGTTCTTACAATAAAGTAAGCAAGAGAAAGGAAAGTGTTATTTAAAAAATCATAAGGGGTCACTTGAATTCTTCTATGCCATTTGCTCCATTGGCTGAAATAAAGCCCTTCCTCTTATTAAAAAATAAAAAAGAAAGAAAGAAAGAAAAGAAAATCATAAGGAAGAAAAAATACAGGCTTGGCGCCTGTAGCTCAGTGGTTCGGGCGCTAGTCACATACACTGGGGCTGGTGGGTTCAAACCCAGTCTGGGCCTGCCAAACAACAATGACAACTACAACAACAACAACAAAAATAGCTGGGCGTTGTGGCGGGCACCTGTAATACCAGTTACACTGGAGGCTGAGACAAGAGAATCGCTTAAGCCCAAGAGTTGGAGGTTGCTGTGAACTGTGACGCACACTACCAGGGTGACGTAGTGAGACTCTGCCTCAAAAAAAAAAAAAAAAAGGGCAGTGCCTGTGGCTCAAAGGAATAGGGCACTGGCCCCATATGCCAGAAATGGCAGGATCAAACCCAGCCCTGGCCAAAAACTGCAAAAAAAAAAAAAAACTTTATATATATATATATATATACACACACACACACACACACACACAACTGTTTATCATGTGGAAGTAGGTCATCATAAAGGTCTTCATCCTCATTGTGTTCATGTTGAGTAGGCTTGAGAAGGAGGAGGGATCGGTCTTGTCTCAGGGGTAGCAGAGGTAGAAGAAAATTCTTGTAGAAGTGGACCCATGACTTCACACCCATGTCGTCCAGACCCATGACTTCACACCCATGTCGTCCAGACCCATGCACTTCACACCCATGTCGTCCAGACCCATGACTTCAC